GGTGCCGTCCCACGCGATACGACGGGCGCCGCGATGTAGAGGCTTTGGAGGAGTTCCTCAATTCCCTAGATCTATACCTCCGCATTCAAAATGCCCCAGAAGACTTTCAACTCCTCCTGGCCTCTTCCTTGCTAGAAGGGGACGCACGGCGATGGTGGCTACACTTATGCAACGGCTCAACGTTCCCGGAGCACATCAGGTCCATGCAGGCCTTCCGGGACGCGGTACGTTGCAGGTTTATCCGGACGTCCGCAAGCGAGCAGGCTATGGCGGAACTGAGAAAGCTTAAACAGGGAAAACTGTCAGTAGAGCGCTACATTGAGAAATACCAGTCCTTGGTGAACCGAAGTCCTATGGTGGCCCCGGAGCTTCACTACCAATGGTTTATAGCGGGGCTGGACCCCATAGTGAGGCAAACAGTGATTGGCTGGGCCACGGGCAGGGAAATGATGGGCGAAAAAGTGGAACTTGCTGACATGATGGAATACCTCCGCATAATGGAAAAGAAACACGCCACACCCACAGCCTTAGCTGAAAAGGAAGAAAGCGGGCATGGGAACAATCCCGATTTGGAACAAATGGATATTGGGGCTGTGAACACCAAGCCAGCTAAACGCGGGGCTAGAAGCGGCTACCGTCAGCAGACGGCGACCTCACCACCTAAAAAGCAAGACGGAGACTCTGAACGGCGTACCTGCATCTTCTGTAGTAAACCGGGTAACGTATTTCGAGATTGCAGGCTTATGAAAAATGCTAGGGAACAACTGAGACCAAACCCCGAACAGCGCCGCCAAGGGAACAAACAGAGCAAACAGGGAAACGCCCGGGCCCCTACGCAACGTGCGGCGCAGTGAAGGGGCCATGCGAGATAACGGCCGCACCTACAGACCCACCTCGAGTCAATTCAGTACTTGTACAAGTACGAATAAAGGGACAGGATCTAATGGCCCTCCTCGATACGGGATGTGAAGTAGATATGATATCCGAAGCCGCAGCAAGGAGATGCAGCCTACCGGTCTACTCATTGGCGCAATCTCTGAGGCTACGCTTCGCAG